CACCCTGCCTGGAGTCTTACCTCGTTGCTTGATACTTTTGGCCCGTTGATATTCCCAATCCACCGTGCTGCTCTGTTGCGCAAGCGCATTCTGATTTCCTGTCATGCACCGGTGCATGAAGTTTGTAATTATGGTATGTCGCCCAAGCTCAATGGCCACACAGTTCAGATTACTTACCCTTTGTTTTCTTAGTGTACGATATTTCCGTCTTGTCAAATATTCCGTTGTCTGTTTGCGACGTAATCGATCCAGCTGCTCCTGTCCAGCGTTTACGACCATTATTCACCATTGGTGTTCATGATATTTCATACCTTCTCGAGCATCAAGCTGCCTTGAAGCAGCGCTCGAATTCAGATAATGATTCTTCCGACCCCGCCAGCGGGGAGGACACAACCTCGGGGTGGGTTGCTTGCACAACAGATAGCATCCTCGCTATGAAGGAGGGTCTCTGGGATATGCTCATCACCATGCCCCCACCGGACTCGTCCAACGCCAAGGAAAAGGCCTGGCCAACCATAGAGTGTCCCAAAGGCGTTCCAGTGAAAGCAAGCCAGCGAGACCTCCGTCGTTTCCGTGCTCTCAGAGCGGGCCTCGCTCGTCTTGCTTCTGGTTCTTCCGTTGTTGAATCTCAGTCAGAGACAAGCGACGCCCCTACACCATCTACGCCAGCAATCCGTCTTGCAGACAACAAGCCAACTCCTTCCTCTCGCCCCAGCACGGCGACAATTATTCGCCCCACAATGACAATAGCAGACGACGAAGCCGAAAAGATCGTCGAACCAACCACTTGGGCCGCCCTCGCATACAACGGATTCATGTGGTGGGCATCAGCCGGTGAGAAACGACACTCAGAGGAAGTAGATGAACAAAGTCACGATGCTTCCCTCCTCGCAGATCTTGGTTCACCAGTTTCCCCCACCATGTCAGCCGCTCCGCAGAGAAGGCCAAGCTTCGGCACGACGACTCCTGGCCCCAGCATGGTTGATTCTTTGACATCCTTAACGACTCGGGGACCCAGTGGAGCAGAACTAGACGGCAATGATGATGACCGAGCGAGGATTGAATTGGCGATAATAGCTTATTTCCATCGATTGACCACGTCTATTTTGGGAGTGTTGGCTGATATTGTCGATTCAAGTGATGATGATGACTTGTTGGATTTGGATATTGATTATACCGAGCCGGCGGTGTTGAGTGAATCAGAGGGAGAGGAAAGGGAGAGGTTGTTGAATCAAGAAGGAGGTGCTGGAGGGGGAAGTTGGGTCAGAGTGGACAGTGATGCGCTCGCTCAGATGGGACTTGACGTTTGGAGTCAAACAGACGCGGACTTTGTCAAGGAAATTGTGGCGAGGTACTTTTCTGACAAGAGGGCGATTGTCTTGACAAAGGGTGTTGAAGTTTGTGGTGTGAGGGTTTGTTGATTGATGATGGACGATGGACGATGGACGATGACGATGCGAAAAGCAAGCACATATATGATTGTTCTTCTCTCTTATTTCTTTCTTTTTTTTTTTCTTGTTCATCAAAGCGCATTGGGTTTTATTTATGCCAAGATGGAAAATTATTGGGAAAATTTGTTTATTCCACAGATTCTTTTTTATGCATAGGGCGGAATATTATGGGTTTATACTGGGTTTTCATTTACATTATTCTGGGGAGAACAACACACACACGCACGCACTGTGTGTATAAAAAAAACTGACTGATCATATATTTTTATATGCATGTTTTACAATAAACAATTTTGATTGGATGAGGTTGAACGCCACATACACATTCAAACTCCCCCCCCCCCCCCCCGAGGCGAGCGGGCGGTTAGGTAGGAAGCGGGGGAGAGGGGAGAGGGAATGGACGGGAAAAAACAAGATTTGCTTTCTATGGGGCGAGCCTTTTCCTTTTTCCTCTTCTCTTTCCCCCTCAAACATACGAGCAGGACAGGGCGAAAATGTCAATCATGGATATGTTCAAACCAAACCAAATGGGCAGCATAGTTGGGATGATACCGGCAAAAGACGACGAGGAAAAAGAACCGTTGCCAGAAATCAACCCTTTCAAGAACCCAAACAATCCCTTCTTTGCTGGACCCAGCACGGAACTGGATTTCTACGAAGTGATTGCCGACAGCAACGCCGGTATTCCAAACAGTATTAGCAGCACCGGAAGCAGCGTTCAAAAATACTTTCACAACCCGGCTAAAAGGCTTTTGCACCTCGACAGTTGGTCAAGAGACATTGAAAAGCAGATTAATTCGTCGTACCGCTCCGAGAACCCGATTCTATGGGGCATTGGTCTGCTGTCGTTTTTTGAAAAGAGTTGTTATTCGCCGGGGAGGTTGACTCAGGAGTTGGGGTGGGAACCTGTCCCCCGAGGAGGACTTCCAAAACATGTGACGTCTTGCGGTTGGATGGATGCCTTTGAAGATTTGATCCGTGTCAATTCCGGACTTGAGATGCGGGATGTGAAGAGTATGGGATTGCCCAAGTTTGTTGACGGGTTTGACGTTTGCCAGAAGAGGGATTATTTGGAGATGGGCACTGTGAAGGCTTGTGTGTCGAGGGACTTGCTCGTTAAAAGAACGTCTCAGAATTTATCGTTGCAGACTTATCTCCCTCTGTCAAAAACACCTAGGAGTGTGGAGGAGTGGGTTAAGGATAGAAAGTGAGAAAGTAGATGGGAGGATTATCTAAAGGCGGAAAAAAGGCTGGTAGAAGAGGTGGAAAAGATCATATATTCGTCGGTTGAAACAGGTTACAACTTGTAAAGCGCTTGATGAGGGTATAAAGCTGGTGAAGGAGTTGGAGAAGAGCTTGAAGCTGATTAAGGAGGGGAGTTCATGCGAGATTAGGAGGAACTCTGCCCGATTAATAATGCAAGTGATTGCGGAGGAGGATAAAAAGAGGTGGGATGGGAATAAGACTGCTTTGGAGCTGAAGATGGTTATGGAGGGCTTGGTTGTGCCGAAGGGGAAGGTTACAAGAGAGGCTGAGAACGATGGATCGGGGTTGGTGAGGGAGACGGTAGTCAATGACCTGAGGGAGGGACCGGGACAGGGCTTTAGGTTTAGAGCTCAGCATATTGTGTCTCTGTGGAGGAGGTCTGTCATGGGGCAAGTGTTGAGATTTTATGAGCCAGCAATTAGGGTTTATGAGTTTAGGACAGTGGATAGAAATAACCTCGTTGATTCGGGGATATCCGGTGCTCCTGGCCAAAGCGGGAGAAGGAGTTCAAAGGGAGGAAATGGTGGTTTTGGTGACCTGTCTCAAATGTATCTAAACGTGATTTGATTGGACAATGATGACTGGGTAATATACCTGAAAAAAACGAAGCGGGGGGAACAGATAAAATAAACTTTACAATTTCCTCATTTTTCAACTCTTATTCCGTACACTCGTCAATCCATATTCTTTTTGAAGCAGCGATCCACCAAAATGCTCGGACCTGACCTCAGAATAGGGACGTTATTCGATTGGACTCCCGTCATCAATCCGTTCAGCTTTCTCAGCGACGCCGAGGCTAAGCACCTTCTTTCCGATGAATTGGTCTTTAAAGAAGTCCGAGGCGCTGCCTCCTTTCCCAATCCCGCCGTATATCAGCGCCACCTCGATTTGCGCTCACGCTTTCATGAATTGTTTCTTGAAGGCCTCAGCGGCCGGGATGTGAAGTCCTTTGTAGATGCGACCAAATGGTTTTTTGACAGGACCACGTACTCTCCTCTGCGCTTGACGCTTGAACTTGGGTGGGAGCCCACACCTCGAGGTGCGGTTCCTTCACCAACTTCTTCCGGCTGTACGGGCGGGTGGATTGATGCGTTTGAGGATTTGATGCGCAGCAGCGTCGGCATGGAAATGAGGGATCTCTCTGAGAAGGAAGATGAGCCAAAAACCTGGGCGGGTATCGATTTGAACTCTGTCAATGTTCCCGGGTATCACGGCCCATTGAGGGGATGGTATAAATTTTTCAGGTCCGCATTAGGTCTGTCGGGGGCTATGTGGGTCGAGCCATATATAAACATGTGGAACACACCGAAGACGATGGAAGAATGGGTGCAGTTGCGACAATCGCGGGCAGCGAAGACGGACCCTGTTGTGTTGAAAGCGCGGGTTGAGCGTGTCATGTCGGATGCGGAGGAAGCCCTTCGGAAGGACATCCGCCGGCATGAGGAGATGGGATTTAAATTGGGATCATATTCCCCAACGAACATAATAAACGATCACCTTGCCAAGTTGGAAAGAGGGGACGGGGTGGCCGAGGTGTATAGTCATCTTAGGGGGGAATTTACAGAGATTTTGGAGTATTTGAAGGAAAAGGCGACCCGTAATGGTGGTAGTTTGGATGGTAAAGACCAACACATGCTTGGTGAGTTGGGGAAGGTAGCTGAGGTCATAAAGGGAGGGGAAGAAGTAATCAGAGTTAGCAAAGGGAAGGTTACCAAGGAGGAGGAGTTGGGCTTGGTCAAGGAGACTTATACGAATGAAGTACGCGACAAGGCAGGAAATGTTATTGCCTCACAGGTGTCTACTGTTTGGAAGGATAAGAGCGGTCGCGTAGTTCGCAGCGAGCGTAGGTTGGCTGGCTCGGTGCTTGACTTTGCGTTCAAGCCATTTTTGGTGGAGTGGTTGGAATTCAGTTTAGGTACCGATACAAACGATGAAAAGGAGCAAGATAAATGGAATCAAGGGGAAGAAGGAAAGCAGGAATCAAAAAAGTATAAGAAGTGGTCATTTTCGAAGTGAAGGGGCAGGGAAGGCAATTCAGAAAACAAGGTCATTTTTAAAACTCTAATATTCAGTCTTTATAGTACGGAAGGGACAAAGGACACTCGACAGTTTTCATCAACTTTGGAAGGGCGAAATGTCAGCTTAAAAACACACAATGCAACCATTTTATTTCTACTCAAGCAAGTATCCTCATATCTCTCCAAGATTTATATGAAATAACAAAGTCGAAACGAAAAGAAAACGAACAATAAAAATAAAAAATAAAAAAAGGAAGAAATCATCAGGTCGTACCCGGAATCGAACCGGGGTTGCCGGAAGGCCTTTCAAATGGAAAGAACAAGCTTTTTTACATTTCAGAATCCGGAGTGATGGCCGCTACACTATACAACCCTTGTATAGACGACAGCTGAGGGTTGTTTGTTGTGTTTGCTGGAACAGAGATTAAAAATAAAGTTTAGAGGAACAGTAAAAAAAAAGGGGTGAAAAAATGCTGTGGTTTATATTTATATACCTTGGAGAAAATAATGAAGTAGGAGAATGTAAATTGATTGTTTCTTTTCCCCCCAAGAATCTGGCCAGAGAAAAAGAGAAAAAAATATTAAAATAAGAAACAATTAGAGAAAATCCCTTGTCATATTACCAATTGAATGAAGATGATCCTGAAGCCACGTTTTGATAATGAAGAAGGCTTTAAAGGCCCTTCCCGTGGTTCTGATTCCATTGGTATAATATGTCTGAATCACCCGGCCACAAAATCTCTGCTGCGTATTACCTGCCTACTGAAGCCGCTTCGTGTTATATGAGTAAAACCTTTCCAAGTGCTGAAAACAGCCCTTGTGAAATAACTACAAAGATATGAGGAAGAGGACCGTAAAATACATTTTCAGATGAATAGGGCCAAACTACCTTGGACGAGATAGTTTGTAAAAATGAAACGGATATATGGAATTGAATATGCATGGCATAGCAAATAATCGCCTAAAAAACTTCGCAAGAAATTACACCTCCAGACACATACACACATCCCTCCATCACTATTTCTTCCCAGCCCTACTCTCACTCTTCTTCTTACGCATCTCCCGCTTCCTCTGCACAATCTTAGTCTTCATCGCCAACTTGGCATCCACATTCTTCCTCCCAGCCTTATCCAACAATGCCTTATCATCACCCCCACCACCACCACCCTTCTTCTTACCCTTATCACCACCCGCCTCTTTACCCTCCTTCTTCTTATCCTTCGTACTCTTATTCCAATCCCCTCTAGCCTTCTTAGCAGCCTTCCAATCCGGCTCGTTAGCCCTCTTTCCCTTCTTTCCCTTCTTCTTTTTATTCTTCTCCTCCAAATCCCTAGCCTTCGCTCCAGGCTCCCTCGGCCCCAGCGTCTTGATCTTTTCCTCGTGCTGTCGTCTCCTCTGAACCACGTTCGCATTCTCAATGGCAAACTCAACAACCAACCTCTGCGTCTTGCCCAGTTCGTTCTTCAAGGCGTGTCCGTTGAGCCATCTCAGACCCATCAACGCCCAGCGATGAGAGGAATACTCAATGAAACCGTAACCTCTGCTCTTGGCGGCACCTGCGGCCTTCTTCTCGTCTACTTTTTGACCGTGAGAGGTTTCAAATACAATCTTGGCTTGGCTGACTACACCTTTTCCTTTCTCCTTGCGGCGATGCTCTGCTTCTTTGTCTTGTTCACCACCGCGCATGTTTTCTTCTTTTGAAATGGGGGCACGCTTGCCTTCTTTGACGTCTTTGGCAAATCCTACTACGGCCTCACGAGCCAAAGCTTTGAGTGCCTTCGAGTCCATGTTGTTGGGGATGTTGCGCACAGCCAGACGAGTCAAGCTGAGATGCAGAGCAGGATTGGACTCGATCAGTTTCTTGCGCTGCTTTGCGCTCTGCTCGCGGAGTTTGATTTCCTGAGCGGAGAGCTTGGCAAAAAGGGGAGAGCTGGCAGGGATGGAACCCTCGGCGAGGAGGAAGAGTCTTCTCTTGTCCCTATTCTTCGTTTTTGTGCTGATATCGGCAAGACGACTGGCCTCGTCCTTGTTGACTGCTTGTGCAACCTGCAACACGCGGCCATCCAGAGTATACTTGCCTTCGGGGTCGAGTGTGTCGTTCTGCAGGACAGAGTGCTTGGCGAGGGTAGGGACAGGCTGCTGGCGGGGAGCACCTTTCACGCAAGCCTTTGCTTCCTCGGCGTTGAAGAAGCAGACGAAACCAGTACCGGCTGGTCGGTCCGTGCCACGTTCCTTGACTACTCTGGCGTATCTCACTGCTCCGAAGATGGCAAATTTCTCTTTAAGTTGCTCGTCCGTCGTCGTGTATGGCAGATTGCGAATGAAGAGAGTTTTTGCGTTATCGTCGGCGAGCTTCTTGGCTGCTTCGTCATCTTCTTCGTCGTCTGAAGGCACAGTTTCGAACTCGTCGACTTCCCCGTCTTGCTCCTCGTCGATGTCCTCCATTTCCTCATCCTCATCGTCGTCGTCGTTGTCGTCGTCGTCCTCATCTTCGTCCTTATCCTCGTCATCCTTGTCTTCATCATTGTCATCCTCTTCTTCCAAATTTTCACCGTAGTTTTTGAAGAAATTGGCCAAATCACGGTCCGCCTGGGTCATATTCGGGTCGTCTTCTTCCTCCTCCTCTTCCTTTGCGGGCTTCTTTGCCTTCTTGGTCTTGGCGCTCTTCTTTTCATCGTCATCTGCCTTCTCCTCCTCTCCCTCAGTTTGTTGCTTCCAAGTCTCCTTGTCGACAGCCCAATCAACTGCAATTGTTCGTCCATCAATCTCCTTGCCATTCAAAGCCTCCATGGCCTTCTCCGCATTCTTGCGACCGCGAAGAGTAACGAAACCAAAACCAGCCATCTTTCCCTTCTGGCCGGGCAAATCAGCAAACTTGACCTTGCCGAAGCTCTGGAACAGCTTGGTCAGCTGGTCGGCATGCTTGATGCTCCATGGCAAGTTACGAATGATGAGTTTGGGCGCTTTGCGGGCCTCGGTCATCTCCTCCTCTCGCTTCCTCTTCTCCTCGACGACCTTTGATGCGACGGCGGGGGTTGCTTTGGAGGCATCGCGAAGACGGGGCTGGGCAATGTCGAGCCTCAGCTTGCGACCGCCGAAATCGTGGTTGTTGAGCTTCTCCTTTGCCTCAATCGCATCTTCGGGATCGGCGAACGAAACGAAACCATAACCCCTGGACTCCTTGGTTTTAGGGTCAAGGACAACGGTTGCGTGCTTGACTGGGTAATGTTGAGAGAAGAAATCGGTAAGGGATTCGCTGGTAGCATTTGGTGGAAGTGATCGCACAAAAAGGGATCTGTTTGACTCGACTCGGGCCTTCTTTGAGGCTCCGGCAGGTGTCTCATCGGCGTCGCGTTGGCGCTTCTTATTATCGTTTTGGTCTCCCATTGTGCTGTTTTTCTTGTGGTATTTGGGAAGTTGGTGATTCTGGGTATAATTTTTCGGAAAACCAAGCTTCCCTGGTCAATTGCAAAAATCCAAACCAAAGTCTCGATAAGCAGCTTATCGGGTCAAATGTGGGGCATAGCAACAACCAGATTCTTGTGAGTGGGGGATAAGGTAGCAGTATCCTTCATCAGAAAGGCTTCTCAATCCAAAAGTTGTTTTCATATTTCTTCATGAGTTTGATTAGCTTTACATTTATTTGCTAACATATCTTGGGAAATTTAATCTTATTTTGAAGGGCATGCATTGCTCAAGAGATAAATGCCAAGCACTAACAGATGTCAAAAGTCATACCCCTCCAAACCTGCCCGAGCTAAACCTAATTAGGCAATCGCTGGGTAAACAAACAACAATCAGGCCCTCTCACTTTCCTTCCCTGTGGGCAATTGACAACTTTTGCGACACGAACACCGACACCCGACGACGACCTCGATGCGGTCCGAAAAATTCTAACAAAACAAAAAAGTTCCGTAATATCATTCATTGCTACGAAACGCAATCGGAACCTTTTTCCAAAAAAATTCACAATGCCACCTCGATCGACGAGGTCGACGAGGTCCTCAGCAGCGGCGGGGGGAGGAACGGCAACATCACGATCTACACCGGCATCGCGCGCCTCGTCCAACACAAATGTTGACATCCCCACCGAGACTCCCGACTCGACTCTACGCAAACAAGTCGCCGCCGTATTCCGCGATGCTCAGCGCACCACCGCCTCTCACAGAAAACTAGCCGTCACACTGCGCAAGATCCAAGAAGCTTGCTGCTACGAGCCAACAAGCACCAAGAAGGGCGCCACAGCCGAGGAGTTTGACGAGGATGACTTCAACAGCGAGTTTATGCGATGCGTCCTGCGCGTCATGCCAGTCAAGAAGAGCGAGTCCGTAGGCGAAAAGACCATTCGCTTCATTGGTTTGTTCCTGCGACATTCGATCGACAAGGACAACGAAGTAATGGGCGAGGCCGACCCAGATGCTAGCACTATGCCTGAAACTCCCGGCACGCGCCTTACTACGCATCTCATGGAGACTATCTTGCCTTTGCTGCAGGCCAAGGACAAGTTTGTGCGTTATAGGTCGACGCAGCTCATTTCGCATATTATTAATTCGTTGGATGCGATCGATGATGATTTGTTCCAGAAGCTGAGGTCGGGATTGCTTAAGAGGATTCGCGACAAGGAGGCTATGGTTCGCGCGCAAGCTGTGTTGGGGTTGGGAAGATTGGCTGGAAACCAGGCGGACGCGGAGCCGAATTCGGATGATAGCCAGGATGAAGCGACGAGTGGGTTGTTGGATAAGTTGTTGGAGGTTTTGCAGAACGATCCAAGCGCGGATGTCAGGAGGTCTCTGTTGGTCAACTTGCCGATATTGCCGAATACTTTGCCGTTCTTGCTGGAGCGCGCGAGGGATCAGGATGCTGCTACACGTCGCGCGGTGTATTCGCGACTCTTACCTGCATTGGGTGACTTTAGGCATTTATCCCTTTCTATGAGAGAGAAGCTTTTGCGCTGGGGTTTGCGGGATAGAGATGAGAACGTTCGTAAGGCCGCTGGTCGTCTGTTCCGTGAGCGATGGATTGAGGACTGCGCCGGCACTCCTCCTCCTCAAGAGTCAGGCCAGCCCGCTGAGGTTTCGCCTCCTAATATTGATGCGCTCCTCGAACTGTTGGAGCGTATCGATGTGATTAACTCTGGAGGAGAGAACGGCGTGGCTCTTGAAGCGATGAAGGGTTTCTGGGAGGGTCGTCCCGATTACAGAGAAGCCATGGTATTTGACGACCAGTTCTTTGAGACTTTGAGCGCTGAGTCTGTGTTTGTGTGTCGGACATTCAACGACTTTTGCCGTAACGAAGGCAACGGGAAGTTTGAGTCTCTGGTCGAGGAAAAGCTACCCGAAGTCACCAAGGTCGCTTTCTACCTCGAGCGATACA